ATTGTAAAAATCTCTCACAGTTTCTAAACAGTCTGTGACTCGCCTATTGTCCCCGCGGCCCCTTGTGTCCACTATGTATTCATACGCCCGCCACCCCTGCTGGGCAAATTAGTCAGTTTGTCGGCACAGCCAACACTCACTGGTCGGAGATTGGCAAAATTAACGACTAGTATTTAACGATAATGTAATAGCATTTAATTATTCCATGCACTGGCGATAACATCTCTTCTTGGCGACTTGAGATGCGCGATGCCGGCCCCTGCTCCACGCTCCACTGACCAGTGATGGGTTGTCTCCCTTGATGCGTGCAGTGATCAGCGCCCCCCAACCTGGCCTGGCATATGGGGCAATATAAACACATACAAGAAACACCGGGGTGGGGCTGGGGTGGGGCAGAGGTGGGGCAGGGGGAGGGATATCCCTCACCGTGCCTCAACCTGCTTTAACATGTAGAGCTACACCAACAACAATGAAGATGAAGGGCGTGCCGCCAGAGGGTGGGGAGGGTGGTAGAGCATGTTAAACCCCCAAGTGACAGACGTTTGCCTCCAGGATATAACACAAGAGGTCAAAGGTGAAATGCATCTCGTTACGGCACGAGCGTCGCGAACAATAAGCAGCTATGTCACTCAGGTCACTCAGGCGACTCTCTCCACAAAAAAGCGAATAATAATAATAATAATAATAATAATAATAATAATAATAATAATGATAATAATAATGATCCTGACGATGACAATGATGGTGATGATGATGACGACGATGCCTAAGTAAGTCTGTTTGGAAAAAAATGTTCGTCCTTCCAGTCTCCGTGGAATAATAAATACACTAATGATAAGAACAATGTATATCGGACAAGCATGATCGTGCGCCACCAATCACATTTCCACTCTGCCTCCTCGCTGTACGCTCTGAAGAATGACTTCGCGTCCTATTGTCCTCAACAAAACAGGCTCAGCCATTGTCCCAATACAGCAAAAGTGAGTTGTTAATTTCCAATCACTTATTAATTTTCTGTTAAAGTAGCAGCATCGATCGCGTCTCTATTGTTTAAGATTTCAATTTTTCGCTAGATTGTATTTGTCGGCCATTGTTGAGGTGTGTGGGTTACTGGAGTGCCCCGTGCCTCCTGTCTATAGTGCTAACAGGGGGAGATGAGACGCAGCCAACCCCCCCACCCCCTCCCCTTCCAGTATCACAGTTGCCGTTCAGTGTTTAGTTGCAGTTTGTGACGTCCTTGTCGCCGCCCGAACAAATTCATGACATCTTCACGCATCGACAAACGAATTTGGCCACATCTCGCTCGCCCAGTGACGAGGGAGCGAGGCTAAATGAAGGGGAAAGTCAGGCTATTTGTATGTCGTCCTGAGATCGCGATACTAAACCAGGGATAGGGATCATCTTCATTAAAAGTAATGAGGAGAAATGGGAAAGTGATAGCTGTTCTATCATCCGTAGCGTTGTTTAGCACATTGTTTGCTTGCCTTAAGAGATATTTCTCGCCCCGCCGCCTTGGAGCAGACTCTCGTGATCTGACGGACGGGCTTCTGCATCGCGGGGCCACAAGGGTCTCGAGCTCTATTCTCTCGCTGCCCGCCCTGTCAACACAGGCGCCACAACGGCCTAAATGACCAAAACCCGCCTTGCATACAACCAGCAATACTTAAAACCGATACTTGATCACCATAACATTAAAACGTCGCGGATTCGTTAAGGATCGTTTGTCTTCGGCAGTTTCCGGAGCTGACGCCGCTGACTGTTTCTATTAAACATAAATAAAGCAGGGCATCTACTGTTGGAATATAAATAGGTGCTAAGGTATCGTCTCCCCGCGCCTACATCACACTACTGACAAATTACGTGTAAATAGTGTGTCAGTGTTCTCTCATTTAAATAATCCATACCGCGCAGAATAAAAGGTAACTTGTACACTGGCTCCTGACAGTCAAGTGGAATCTGTAATGAACAGGGTACAATCCTGGAACACAGATACGTAGTGAGCTTTTCCCACCTCACGGGTATGTGTAGGAGACATGCCTTGTGCTGAGTTTAACACCGTCATCTGTCAGTCTGAGCGATGCCTTGTGCTGAGTTTAAAACCGTCATCTGTCAGTCTGAGCGTTGCCTTGTGCTTAGTTTAAAACCGTCATCTGTCAGTCTGAGCGTTGCCTTGTGCTGAGTTTAACATCGTCATCTGTCAGTCTGAGCGATGCCTTGTGCTGAGTTTAACACTGTTATCTGTCAGTCTGAGCGATGCCTTGTGCTTAGTTTAAAACCGTCATCTGTCAGTCTGAGCGTTGCCTTGTGCTGAGTTTAACACTGTCATCTGTCAGTCTGAGCGTTGCCTTGTGCTGAGTTTAACACTGTCATCTGTCAGTCTGAGCGTTGCCTTGTGCTTAGTTTAAAACCGTCATCTGTCAGTCTGAGCGTTGCCTTGTGCTGAGTTTAACATCGTCATCTGTCAGTCTGAGCGATGCCTTGTGCTGAGTTTAACACTGTTATCTGTCAGTCTGAGCGATGCCTTGTGCTTAGTTTAAAACCGTCATCTGTCAGTCTGAGCGTTGCCTTGTGCTGAGTTTAACACTGTCATCTGTCAGTCTGAGCGTTGCCTTGTGCTGAGTTTAACACTGTCATAAGCCAGTCTGAGCGTTGCCTTGTGCTGAGTTTAACATCGTCATCTGTCAGTCTGAGCGTTGCCTTGTGCTGTGTTTAACAGTCATCTCTCAGTCTGAGCGTTGCCTTGTGCTGAGTTTAACACTGTCATCTGTCAGTCTGAGCGTTGCCTTGTGCTGAGTTTAACACTGTCATCTGTCAGTCTGAGCGTTGCCTTGTGCTTAGTTTAAAACCGTCATCTGTCAGTCTGAGCGTTGCCTTGTGCTGAGTTTAACATCGTCATCTGTCAGTCTGAGCGATGCCTTGTGCTGAGTTTAACACTGTTATCTGTCAGTCTGAGCGATGCCTTGTGCTTAGTTTAAAACCGTCATCTGTCAGTCTGAGCGTTGCCTTGTGCTGAGTTTAACACTGTCATCTGTCAGTCTGAGCGTTGCCTTGTGCTGAGTTTAACACTGTCATAAGCCAGTCTGAGCGTTGCCTTGTGCTGAGTTTAACATCGTCATCTGTCAGTCTGAGCGTTGCCTTGTGCTGTGTTTAACAGTCATCTCTCAGTCTGAGCGTTGCCTTGTGCTGAGTTTAACACTGTCATCTGTCAGTCTGAGCGTTGCCTTGTGCTGTGTTTAACATCGTCATCTGTCAATCTGAGCGTTGCCTTGTGCTGAGTTTAACACCGTCATCTGTCAGTCTGAGCGTTGCCTTGTGCTGAGTTTAACACTGTCATAAGCCAGTCTGAGCGTTGCCTTGTGCTGAGTTTAACATCGTCATCTGTCAGTCTGAGCGTTGCCTTGTGCTGTGTTTAACAGTCATCTCTCAGTCTGAGCGTTGCCTTGTGCTGAGTTTAACACTGTCATCTGTCAGTCTGAGCGTTGCCTTGTGCTGTGTTTAACACTGTCATAAGCCAGTCTGAGCGTTGCCTTGTGCTGTGTTTAACACTGTCATCTGTCAGTCTGAGCGTTGCCTTGTGCTGAGTTTAACACTGTCAGTCTGAGCGTTGCCTTGTGCTGAGTTTAACATCGTCATCTGTCAGTCTGAGCGTTGCCTTGTGCTGTGTTTAACACTGTCAGTCTGAGCGTTGCCTTGTGCTGAGTCTAACAATGTTATCTGTCAGTCTAAGCGTTGCCTTGTGCTGAGTTTAACACTGTTATCTGTCAGTCTAAGCGTTGCCTTGTGCTGAGTTTAACACTGTCATCTGTCAGTCTAAGCGTTGCCTTGTGCTGAGTTTAACATCGTCATCTGCCAGTCTAAGCGTTGCCTTGTGCTGTGTTTAACAGTCACCTCTCAGTCTGAGCGTTGCCTTGTGCTGAGTTTAACGCTGTCATCTGTCAGTCTGAGCGTTGCCTTGTGCTGTGTTTAACACTGTCAGTCTGAGCGTTGCCTTGTGCTGAGTTTAACACTGTCATCTGTCTGTCTGAGCGTTGCCTTGTGCTGTGTTTAACACTGTCAGTCTTAGCGTTGCCTTGTGTTGAGTTTAACACTGTCATCTGTCAGTCTGAGCGTTGCCTTGTGCTGAGTTTAACACTGTCATCTGTCAGTCTAAGCGTTGCCTTGTGCTGTGTTTAACAGTGTCATAAGCCAGTCTGAGCGTTGCCTTGTGCTGAGTTTAACATCGTCATCTGTCAGTCTGAGCGTTGCCTTGTGCTGTGTTTAACAGTGTCATAAGCCAGTCTGAGCGTTGCCTTGTGCTGAGTTTAACATCGTAATCTGTCAGTCTGAGCGTTGCCTTGTGCTGTGTTTAACACTGTCATAAGCCAGTCTGAGCGTTGCCTTGTGCTGAGTTTAACGCTGTCATCTGTCAGTCTGAGCGTTGCCTTGTGCTGAGTTTAACATCGTCATCTGTCAGTCTGAGCGTTGCCTTGTGCTGTGTTTAACACTGTCAGTCTGAGCGTTGCCTTGTGCTGAGTCTAACAATGTTATCTGTCAGTCTAAGCGTTGCCTTGTGCTGAGTTTAACACTGTTATCTGTCAGTCTAAGCGTTGCCTTGTGCTGAGTTTAACACTGTTATCTGTCAGTCTAAGCGTTGCCTTGTGCTGAGTTTAACACTGTCATCTGTCAGTCTAAGCGTTCCCTTGTGCTGAGTTTAACACTGTCATTTGTCAGTCCGGGCGTTACCTTGTGCTGAGTTAACACTGCCCTGTTAGTTTGTCTCACAGTCCTGAATCATATTATTTCCCCTTCCACCTAGCCCTTACTGTAATGCTGGAGCCCAAAATGAATCAAGTCTAGATTTTCCAAACGTTCAGGTTCTGAATCGCCCATCACCCTGGATTCCTTTTCAATTTAAATTCAGTTGTTTGTTTTTAACGAACATAATATATTTGCAGAGCCTAAACGTTAGTCTACATGTCTGCGCGTGTCGTATGTTGACACTGTCTGTCGTCTTTTTGCAGGACCAAGTGGAAGAGACAGACGGCGGTGGGTCTGGAACTCCTGGCGGAAGCGGGCAACTATGCCGCCGTACAGCGCATGCTCCAGTCTAGTCCCTACTGGTCGTCCTACCCCCACACGTCCACCATCCTCTCCAACATGGACGCCCTCTACTACAGACATGGCGTCGGAGCACTTCCGGTTAACAGGCCTATAATCCCGCGCATGCTCATCCACGGACTACAGCAGCACGTGAGCCACCTGCCCCCGCCTCACTAACCCACGCCACCCACAGGACTTGTCACATTCCCAATACGGGTAGCTGTGATACAGACACGGGTCGACCCATGACCTTTAGTGCAGGGATCTTAACCTTGACCTTTTGTGCAGGGATAGTGACCTTGACCTTAAAGTGCTGAAAATATTAATCATCCAGTGAAATGACATGATTTCCTTGGCAACAGAGGCGTTAACGAAACTACAACGTTACGTTTGATGTTCTTCGCTTGGAATCGCTGAAGACTGCTCTCCTGGTGCCCTGGTATCTTGATGGTGTTCAAAGTGTGATGACAAACTACGACACGTACTGCCAATGTGAGGTCAACCGCTTCAGCTGGGCGTACTCCGGAGCGTTGTCTGTTCGTTGTATATTGGGAGGCACACAAGCGGACACACACAATGTGTTTGTTACCATGGATATCCTAGTTACCAGGGAGATCCTAGACTTGGAATCTCCTGTCCCTGGGTATCTGTCCCTTGTATACAGGGAACCTCCAGACTTGTTAAGAGCGGACACAGAGTAACTGTCCGTTATATGCAGGGGATGTCAAGATACGTTTACCTGTAATTGGAGACTGAAGACTTTGAAACACGGACAATGTTGTGTTGTAGGTGCTTGACGGATCACATTGATGAGCACAATGATAACCCTCTCTGCCTGTACCGCAGAGAGGAAGTCTGTATCTATATGCACACACTATTTATGCGTAATTGAAATGTACTTGTAATATATTGACGTTATGTTCAGTATTAAGAACTTCTATAACACCACGACTATGTTGTGTTGGATTTACAGAGCCTTCCACTGCCTACTTCAATGTACAGACCAAACACTTTCCACACCACAACTTTTAGAAAGTTCCCTTAAATGTTCTTTTGTCTCAGATGTGTTTATTTATATTGTAAGAATAAGGAATTACAACGTTAAGAGACAGGGAGGTCACACAGGGAGATCGCGCGTGTGTGTCCGACAAAGAAAGCCAAACACAAGAGATTCTTCTATTACGTCACGTGGTCATATCACGTGACACACAATGTGGTTTGTGAATAAAGATGAAAGTTTCTTGAAATCAGTTTTCTTTATTCTTGTCATCGTGCCGTTGTCTGCCATTGTGCTCGCGTCACGTCTCGTCTCAGTTACACTAACAAGTCATGAATGGCCGCACTCGGCTCTCACTGCCGGCAGAATAGCTGTTAGCCGCTTCCAATCAGGTTTGGCCAATTGATGCTAGTTCCAAATTTAAATGATAATTTAATTGTCTAAACGATCATGTCCGACTAGAACTAGGGATTAGTATTGTTATTCTTTTGTGCTTCGGCTTATTGAAGGCATTCTCGATTTAAACTGGATTGATTCGTTAATTCATAGCCAATTTATTGGCTAAATTATGAACCTTTTAAATCAATCTAGCTCAGGAATCGAGAACAAAATTTAGCCTGAGCAAGTGCAAATTCGATTTCTAACAAAAAGACTCTGTATAGCCCAATTTTGCCATTTGAATGAGAAGTTTGTTTCCCTGTCGGCTAATTTACTCAATTTGCTTTAGAAAACGCGCTTGTGAGAGCAACGGAAGCCGCGATATCCATGAGAATACGAGACTAACGATCGGACTTGTTGTCTTAATTATTGCATTTCGGGGCAAGTCGAGCGAGCGTCAGAAGGAGCTGCGCTGTAATGGAGACTGATTATTGCCGAAATTGTCCCTGAATCAGCTTCGCAGATCTCTTTACTTGATCTCATTACAGAGTAATGGAAAGGATATAGGCGCATTTGTAGCTAATGCGTATTTATACAGTGCAAGCATGGAGTTGAATTAATGAGGGCCGCGAGAGACTGGGGGTAACACAAGCCTATTGTCGGGCAGGGGCTGGCCGGAGCTGGGCGACTCAATCACATGCCATCTTAGTCAGGGGCTGAAGCTTCTTTCCTGTTTAAATGCGCTCCTAATCTTCACCCTCAAATGGCCAGCCAGGCTCGACACGCCATGTAGAGGTGGCATCTTCACTTCGGCCCTTGTCAGTAATTGTTTGCGGATACTAGCGCCAGTAGCAGGGGGCTAGGGAGGGGGCGCTGGTCTTACGGTCACACAAAACCTAGCTGCAGTCACCTTTAATCCGTCTGACACTCACACAACTTTAAGCGGTGAGGTAAGATTGAAATTGAAGGGATTTCATTACAGTTACCCAAACTGCCAAGGTCACCCTATTAGTTCTAACAGCGACTTTAATAAAACCACGGATACGGCAGGTGATGGGTCTGATGTAATCGTGTCACCAACATCTAACCAGTCTAATTAAACTCCAGGTCAATTTTATCAGTTCATTGTTTCTTGCCTCTTGTTCCGACAGTCTCTCGGTTTCCTGGTACAGTCAGCAGTATCTGGTTCAGGCAGTTATATACAGTCTACTGTCTCTGGTTCAGATATAGTTACAGTCCGTCAGGCTCTGGTTCAGGCAGTTATATACAGTCAGCAGTATCTGGTTCAGATATAGTTATATACAGTCAGCAGTATCTGGTTCAGACAGTTATATACAGTCAGCAGTATCTGGTTCAGGCAGTTATATACAGTCTACTGTCTCTGGTTCAGATATAGTTACAGTCCGTCAGGCTCTGGTTCAGACAGTTATATACAGTCAGCAGTATCTGGTTCAGATATAGTTATATACAGTCTGTAAGTCTCTGGTTCAGACAGTTATATACAGTCAGCAGTATCTGGTTCAGGCAGTTATATACAGTCTACTGTCTCTGGTTCAGATATAGTTACTGTCCGTCAGGCTCTGGTTCAGACAGTTATATACAGTCAGCAGTATCTGGTTCAGATATAGTTACAGTCCGTCAGGCTCTGGTTCAGACAGTTATATACAGTCAGCAGTATCTGGTTCAGATATAGTTACAGTCCGTCAGGCTCTGGTTCAGACAGTTATATACAGTCAGCAGTATCTGGTTCAGGCAGTTATATACAGTCTGTAAGTCTCTGGTTCAGATATAGTTACAGTCCGTCAATCTCTGGTTCAGACAGTTATATACAGTCAGCAGTATCTGGTTCAGATATAGTTATATACAGTCTGTAAGTCTCTGGTTCAGACAGTTATATACAGTCTGTCAGTCTCTGTTTTAGATATAGTTATATATAGTCAGTCAATCTCTGGTTCAGACAGTTATATACAGTCTGTCAGTCTCTGTTTTAGATATAGTTATATACAGTCAGTCAATCTCTGCTTCAGACAGTTATTTACAGTCCGCAATCTCCGTTTTAGATATAGTTATATACAGTCAGTCAATCTCTGGTTCAGACAGTTATTTACAGTCCGCAATCTTGGGTTCAGATATAGTTTTATACAGTCAGTCAATCTCTGGTTCAGACAGTTATTTACAGTCCGCAATCTCTGTTTTAGATAGAGTTATATACAGTCAGTCAATCTCTGGTTCAGACATATTTATGAACCGATTGCTGTGATACAGCTGCAATAATGCTGGCTCCGGTATAAACAAAACATTCTCTCACTGTTACAATAAATATCCTTTCTATTTTTTAAAGTGTAAATTGTTGTTACACTATGTGAAATCTCAAACGGGCAAATGTCCCACACAAACATGCACGGCTGATTGCCTCCCAATGTCGTGAGCATCTGTTCGTTTACGTCCACAGTGTCGTCATGTGTAAGTATCTATCAGTGCACTTACTGTGTGTGACACTTTATACACAAATAGAAACATTCATTCACGACTACACGGCTAATTACTACCGCGCTGCAGTCGATGAATCTCGCCCGACGGCCTCGTACTGACATCCCGCATTAGAGTGGCGCGAGCACGGGTCAGAGGCCATGAATTGATGACAAATTATCAGCCTTATTTGATTTAAGTAACACATCTCCAATTAGCACATAACTCCTGAATTAATCGTATAAATGGGCAGGCAGATCGCAGGAAATTAACTTGCAATGGGGTAAACGAGCACCCTGGCTCACCACCACGCTATAAATGAGCAATCTGGACACGCCGAGAAAAGCATGAATTTGTAGGAGTTGCGGTAATGAGAGTGTCACATTGAGTTGTATTCATACACATAAATGAATTTGTTTACCATAATCATTGCCTTCAAGCATAAGTGGCGCAAATCCAGGGAAACAGAGGCAATAGCGAGTAGATTGAGGGGAGGGGGGTTCTTCGGTTGCGGGCGCACATCTTGAGCCACCGCAAGAAAAGATGGTAATTACTATAATTAGGCAAGACGTGCTTCACGTTCCGGCGAGAAACTTAAAACAAAAGCAAAAACTGTATTAAAAGGAAAAATGGTCTTTTACACCCGGGCATATTTGTTACTTTGTGAGTAGAATATCACGGGCGTAAATTGGATTATTTCCATCAGAGCTAACGTCTGTCTGTGTTTCGGGCAGGCAAAGGCGCCTCTGTAAATCTCCGACATTTTCTTAAGATAGCTCAATGGCCTTTATAGCCAAACTACTGGAGTTGAGAGTTACAATTATTCCCCAAAACTCCCACTGGGGATATATTGCCAGATCTAAAATAGTTTGGGATGTCTCCTGCTTGTCGCTACGGCCATTGTGAAAAGGGGACACTGTAACAGGGCTACACAGTCTGCGCTACAGATCTATATACACATCGCTACAGATCTATATACACACCACTACAGATCTATATACACACCGCTACAGATCTATATACACACCGCTACAGATCTATATACACACCGCTACAGATCTATATACACATCGCTACAGATCTATATACACACCACTACAGATCTATATACACACCGCTACAGATCTATATACACACCACTACAGATCTACATACACATCGCTACAGATCTATATACACATCGCTACAGATCTATATACACACCACTACAGATCTATATACATACCGCTACAGATCTATATACACATCGCTACAGATCTATATACACACCACTACAGATCTATATACACACCACTACAGATCTATATACACATCGCTACAGATCTATATACACACCGCTACAGATCTATATACACACCGCTACAGATCTATATACACACCGCTACAGATCTAAATACATACCGCTACAGATCTATATACACACCACTACAGATCTATATACACACCACTACAGATCCATATACACACCACTACAGATCAACATACACACCGCTACAGATCTATATACACACCACTACAGATCTATATACACACCGCTACAGATCTATTTACACACCACCACAGATCTATATACACACCACTACAGATCTATATACACACCACTACAGATCAACATACACACCGCTACAGATCTATATACACACCACTACAGATCTATATACACACCGCTACAGATCACATACACACAGCTACAGACAACATACACACCGCTACAGATCTATATACACACCGCTACAGATCTATATACACACCACTACAGATCTATATACACACCCCTACAGATCTATATACACACCACTACAGATGTATATACACACCACTACAGATCCATATACACACCACTACAGATCAACATACACACCGCTACAGATCTATATACACACCACTACAGATCACATACACACAGCTACAGACAACATACATACCGCTACAGATCTATATACACACCGCTACAGATCACATACACACAGCTACAGACAACATACACACCGCTACAGATCTATATACACACCGCTACAGATCTATATACACACAGCTACAGACAACATATACATCGCTACAGATGTATATACACACCACTACAGATCTACATACACACCGCTACAGACCCACATGCACACGGCTACATACCTACATACACATGGCTACATACCTACATACACACCGCTACGGTCCTACATACATACGGCTACATACCTACATACACACCGCTACGGTCCTACATACACGCTGCTACAGCCCTATGTACACATCACTACAGATCACATACACACCGCTACAGTCCTACAAACACAACGCTACAGTCCATACACACATCACTACAGATCACGTAGACACCGCTACAGTCCTACATACACATGGCTACATAAATAGACACCGCTACAATCCTACAAACACAACGCT